AAATTTGGCGATAGATGCATACAACGGAGACGTGGAAGACGCTCAGGCCCTCGTTAGGGAAGAATCACACTGGGGTGGTGTGGGCAGATATGGGGAAAACCGCTTCCTGAACAAATGCCTACGTCGGTTGGTTATCTGCGGTGTTCGGTGTTTTCAACGATATCGTGTGTCAATATGGACATTTTCCGGCAGAGGAGCCAGATAGATATATGAACAACGTGTATGAAAACCTAGCATTCGTGACATCATGCGTCGCCTAGAAATACCCTATTGATAACGTCCACAGTTCCGCACACAACGAACTTCTTGCACTTGGTACAGTTAGTGCTGAGTAACACAAACAATGCGGCACTTTGCGACTGAATCGACCGGCCCTCTGCACTCGGGAGTTAAAACTTTATCCCCGCTTCTCTGACTCAGTCGTTCATCCAACTCCTCAGCAGGCGTTTCTTCTGCAAGTTCAACGCATTATCACCATTGCGGTCACGTAGATTGAATCAGCCAAGACGCAGTTACACGCACCGCGTTTCAAAGTGTGTCGGCTCTGCCGGGCGGGCCGCGGCCGGTAGGGTGGGCGGCCTTGGGAGGTCGATCAGCTGTTCATGGAATACCCCCGCGCGCCGATGACGTCACCGAACTAGGTCGATCCGGCTCCGGCCGGAAATGGTGCATTGATGACGTCACGACCGGTACGGCGGCTGACGGGGCGGCTGGGTCAGCTGGGTGAGGAGCTCGGGTGACCCAGACACTGGACCCCCGGTGTGGGGAGGGGGTCTGTTGTCACGGAGGTACAGCTGACAGCTGCAATAAACTTCGGAGCTAGTGCATGGGAGCTTAATCCGGCGCGGTGTGAGGAAGAAAATGTTATTACAAGCTGATGAAGAAAGAAGCGTGGAAGTACGGCGGACTTAAATTGGATAAACAGATAAAGAGATAAATAAAAAACTGCCCTTTGGTAGAGTTTCAGAATATTACAAATCGCAAATCTCTCAGCGTATCCACTGCCGCTTTCCGTCGTCGTCCATATGAAACTCATCCCCCTGTTCTGTGTGCCGTGTAAACAGAAAGGGGCCGGTGGCCGCGAGCAGTCCGGAAGGGCACTCGGGCGGTCAGAGCCAGTGGGAAGTTGGCAGCCGACGCGCTGTTTGCTGCCGCTCAGACGTCGCGGGGGTCGTTCCCCCGGCGAGGTCACGACCGCTGCCCCTCCCCGCTGCAGACGGATCGATTTAGGGTGAGTCAGCACGGCTAACAACGCTGACCGCTAAACGGTCGGCTATTTACGAGAATATGACAGGTGGGAGGTGACGGTTCTTTGAAATGTCGGTCATGGCCAATATGAAAGAAGCACTGGAACAAAAAAGCAATCCTATAAGGCAACGGGATAACCAATAAAACTGATCATCAGGTCGCACTGTTAATCGGTCTATTTGCGATTCCTTTAGAGTCCAATGCTTAAAAATGTCAATCGGGTACTAAGCTCAATTACTCTGCCTCGTGAGCTTGAAGAATCCCGGAGAAACTGAGCGTGAAATACCGCCCAGACTTTCATCTCGGAGTTTCCGTCTGCCTGCCAGCTGTCTACTTCGCTCAACTGCACGCACACGCACACACACACGCACACAGGCCGTGCAGTGAACTGGCTGGAGTTCAGTGCAGAGCTGCGTTGGAGCGGCTGTCAGCTCCCCGCGACTGCAGCGGCCGCTCGCCGCAGGGGTCACCGGTAGAGGGCGCCGGGGGGGGGGGGGGGTCCAGACAGGAGGGGTGAGGGGATGTTCGATGGGTGTGGAAGGATTGACTGGTGAGCACGGAGTAGCGGGTGATCAGTTCCGCCATGGTGACTGTATGCTTTTGCGGTAAGCAGGCAATCGTAGGTGAGCGGTAATACATCTTTCATTGGCCTTTCGGATAAATCAAACATGCGCAGGTAAGCAAATAAATAAATGAATAGATAGATGTCTATAAAATACCTGAATATGCATTTATTACATAGTCACAGCGAACAACAAAGGGTGTATTATATCAAGTTTTTAAATTCACTTACGGCAAAAACAAAATAATAAAAGTTAAAGCTAAAAGTTCAACGACTTTAAACAGCAGGTAGGTATGTACGTAGGTACCTACCTATGGGCAGTATAGGCAATTTTACTTACATCGCCTTCTCAAACATTCAATGGAACGGGCTTTAGCCTCCAGCATCTGCATTTAATAGTATTTTCCTTTAATGCTTGCACACAATCTTGAGCTTCAGTCCTTTGAGATGTGATGTCACGACAGAAGCTTGCAGCACGCTTTTGTTCACATATGCAACACTGAACAGTGAGGACTTAACTTGAGTCCAATGTCAAGGTAATCAAACTTGTTTCAGTTTCTGAGATGATCGTTCCGGCCCGCAATGGTATGGTAACTAGCCTTTCAGTGTTTAGAGCGCAGAAAGTAGGTGCAGGTGCAAGGTATGGCTGTTGACTCCTCTTCAGTCCAGCACATCATCCAACTTTAAGACGTGTTATTTGTTAGCGTCGTGTCGGTTGTTCCCAGGCGGCGTCGATTGCTCCAAGACTGAATATAACCGGAGGAGACCACCTCGTAGCCGAAGTAAAATGTTTGGTTCACTAGCCTTGCCCACGGGTCAAGTGATTTGCGCCGGCATAATAAGCTGTTGATGTTTGGTAGTCTTGATGGAATTGAAGTGGCAGACATTTGAAATCATCTTTACCAGCAATCACTAAACATAACTAAACAAAAGACGCGAAAAGTGTGCGACAGAGTAGCATATGAACTAAAAAAAAGTCGAAGATGATGAAATCCGAACGACTCACTTATATGATCGGTCATAGTACCAAATAGCAAGAAAAAAATGCGTGCCGGCTTCATGCTTATACCGCAAAAAAAGAAACCATGGATCTGCAAAAGACATTATCTGCATCGACTAGGTTTATGGCGCCCATTTCATCCAAGTGTGTTGGGGTTGTGATCGGCAGAGATCGGCCTCAAATCCAACTCACTCAATACTAAAAACGTCGCATAGTACAATGCCTTCCATCTCAATGGCTGAAAGCGATTCAGCTTTAAAATTCATCATGTCGATGGTCTCGATAGTAGATTTGAATTACTTGTGGAGAGAAACTCGCACCAAGTTAGGTACACAAGAAAATTAAATATCACTTTTTTCTCCATACTATTCCGAATCCGAGAAAGGTCAGGAGTGTTGGGTGTAGGCGTTCCTGACGGGATCCAGTCCATTCAGGATCATCTAGGCAAGTACGGGACAGGACGGCAGACTGGACAGGATCGGTAAGTGAGGAGAATCATCCTCAGAGCAGGATCATGGCTTTGAGTTTTGACAGTTGAATTATCAATCCCTTTATAAGCTATTATATACGGCCTTGGATCTTGGTATGAGAAGATCATTGTGACATTGTCGATACAGGATAGCCCAGTAGAGACGAAACGGGATTTGTTTTCATTGCGTTTTCATTGTGTTCTCATTGCTTGTGCTATGGCTGCCGCAGTGGTCGATAAAACTTCCAACGTGCCAACGCTCGTTGGAGCAAGATATAAGCAATACTTGGAAGAGCTGGAGACAGTCCGCCCGTCTACATGGATGCTTCCTTACGCCTAAAGTACAGCATTGACTTATGACTTACTAATCGTCCGGTGCTGTTATCGGCTGCTCGGTACCGCGTGTATGTTCCCTCATTCACTCCTGGTCACCCTTCGGTCACCCCTCGCTGGGTCGGGCCAGTCGGCTATTTTTATCCTCTTTCCGGCTAGGCCACCCGCTGAGCTCCCGCCGTGCCACGCCGTCTGCGAGGGATCTGACCCTTCTGCCGGCAGAGGTTTCTCCAGGTGTCTCCAAGGAGCCATCGTAGCGCTAAGGGTGTGCTCCGCATACACATATATTGATTTTCGCCCTTACTAGCAGGGCCGCTGGCACGCGTTGGCAGCGCCCTGCGGGCATTTTTTCGCTTAGGGTCATTTTGTGGTGAGGAGGATCAGAAAATCACCCTTCCAACTTTCTCCAGGCCTGGGTGTTTTATCGAGCGCGCCTGAAAACGCACAGTGGACCGAAATCACACTTCGATTGCGTTACTTCGTATTAGGTAATACGATAAAAAGTCCGCTCTTTTCTCAATCAATAAGGACAAGTGCGTTAAAGCACACATATAAACTTTTAAATTAAAAGCTTTAAAATGCTAAATTTCAACATCTCTAAGCTGATGATAATCGTTAGTTGTTTCAGACTTTGGCGCGAAAACGTAGGCATTCAGATCCACCGTGCGACCGGTCACCGTATGCAGTAGTGTGATGGTGTGAGTTGGGTTGGGGAATCAAGGCCGTATGGGGAGAAGGTGAGGAGATATCGGTGTGCCGACGCGGCGGATGGCAGTGAATTTTCAGGATAGGTAGCAAAAGGCTCATTCCCAGACGTTGTACCAAATTTTGCGGCGCTATGCGACGCCAACTTTTACGCTATTCGCGAAAAAAAACTTAAGGAGGCTGCCCCCCCCCCCCGCCAGGCGAGGGCTAAGTTGGAGACAGTGATGGGACTAAGATGTTGGTTGGAGCAACTCCAAGCATTTTATCGACCTCTGTGGCTGCGCTTGAGCCGTGTATGATGGTTCAAGGGCCGAGTGTGTAAATAGATCAAGGTTCCGCGGTGTGATGAAGCTGAGGATGAAGCTGTTTGTTTCACAAAACTGCGTGTGCGACCTTGTGTTGATTTGGCGTGCTATAATGTCCGTAGACCCTACCACCGGATGCAGATATCAGATATACTTCTCGTGTTTTCTTGTGTTATGACTCGAGCTGACTTCCCATGCCAACTTTTATGAAGAGCTGAGCTGTGTTTTGACCTTGCTTGAACTTGAACTTGCTGCAATGGCAAGTGACCCGTAAGGGTCTGGAAATATATGAATTCGTTCGATCTACATCTGTCTAAGCCCGAACCATTCGTCAATTCATCCAACCGTTCTGCCACCGAGGTAGCACATACAACTGAATCGAGATAACACTTTATTAAAATAGATGGTTCTCGCAACATGAACACATATACACGACCCGATCTCCACGCCTCCCCAACACTACACCTGCCTCTAGACAAACTCGGTCAGGGGGACAGTGTGAACAGCACAAGGTACCAGTACAATCAGTCGCTCCCGCACACACGTCCTCACGACCTCCGGCCGCCGTGCGCGGCGAGTCGACTCTTTCAATCCTTAGCTTCTCAACACACAGCACATTAGCTTCTCATCACACGCTCACATATCGCAAACCCTTGGTGAGAACGCGGCCACGAGAACACGTCCAGACGTGCATTGACATCAGAACAATTACGGTGCACGTTTGTGCGCACGAACGAGTGAAGGTGGTGACACGGCGAGCACGCACACGCGCGCACACACGCACACAAACAGATACGGATGACCGGCGGGAGGGAGTCCGTCTCCTCCGACCCGGCCGGGTAAAAACACAGCGCGTCACGACCACTGGCCGCCCGCCGTCGCTCGCGGCGGCGACAACAGCGTCTTCCGGGGAGGCGCACACGAACGACTAGGGACATCGAGAGAATCAGGCGCGCCCCTCAGCAGGCTGAGATCGCACCGGGCGGCCGCGCCGGCCGCTGCACCTATCGTCACAAGCCGGCGGGCGGCGCCGCCGGTCGACTGCCGAACCCGTCACCCAGGTGCTTGGCAATCTCACGCTGCAGCTGCTCTGGCAGTACGCCCACGTTGGCGAACAGGTTCTTCAGCACGGTCAGCTCCTTGGTCATCATCTCGACCCGCTTGTGCAGCCCCTCGTTCTCGCGCGAGAGGAACTTGACGCGTTCTTCGGTCTCGCGGCAGCGCATCTTGGCCTTCTCCCGCGATTTGCGCACGGCCACGTTGTTGCGCTCGCGGCGCCGGCGGTACTCCTCAGAGCCGGGGCTGATGCGCTTGGAGGGCGAGTGCTTGGAGCCGCCCGAGGGCCGGCTGGGCGGCGCTGGCGGAGCGCTGGTGGGCAGTCGCGCCGGCACCAGGCCGCCGGCAGCTGAGGAGACGGGCGTCAGGCTGGCGTAGGCCGGGCTGTAGCCGCCGGCGAAGCCAGGGTGTACCGGCGGCTGGCGGCACGCCTGGAACTCGGCCGCGTCCGGGTCCTTTTTGACGGGGATGGCAGTGACGGTGTCGCCGCCCAGACGCGGTACTGTGTACGGCATCGGCTGCGGCAGGTACCCAGCGGTCGGGTACGTCAGGCCGGCGCACGAGGCCGGCGGCATGCCGGCGCGGCCCGCCTGACCGGCCACGGCCGCCGCCGCCGCCGCGCCCAGGCCCTTGCCTTCGACGATGTCTGTGAAGATGCCATCGCTGAAGTGTGGGTCGTTCACAAAGGCCTGCAGGTCGAGTGACACCTCCGAGGCGCCGAGGTCGGCGAGGTCGCCGAACTCCTCTCCATAACCGCCCAGTCGCGTCTTGCCCGAGAGTCCGTTAAAGCTGGGCTTCACCACAGAGTCGCTGAGATCATACATCTGGGGCGACTCCATGCTCGCCACTGCACATGATGTGCCAACACCACACGAGAAAGAGCGACCGGTGGTCCGGGGAGAAGACACGTCTGCACTGGGCCGGCGTCGGCTGGCGACTGGCTGGCGGCGCGGCGCCGCGGAGCACTACACCACGTGAAAGGGAGGCAGCGGGCCGGCGCAGCGCACCTCCGACCACGACCGCTGTCCTCGGGGGAGTGTCGACAGCGGTGGCCGCGCCGCTCATATGCCTTTCGCCCGGGCGACGGGCGCGCCCAGTGCGCATGCGTATCGTCGTCGCTCGGCTGCAGCCGCCTTATCTGCTGACATTTTGGTATCGCTCCAAGGCACAAAACTCACCGAGATCGATCCAGTCGGAACGACTTTGCTAAGCGCTGCTAGATCCACTCTCATTTGCAGTGGATGGTTGTCAATCTCTGCCACTGAATGCTCTTTTGAAGGACCGCGTTTGTCACTTTTCTGTCCTGCGTCCTGCGACTTCCGGCAACACAATTCGTCATGCCATCACTTCGAATTCAGGACTGTAACGTCTAAACCCCAGGACAAGATAAACGAAGGAAGCTCCGGCAGGTCATCCGTAACGTCGAGGCAATTTTTTCCACGTCAAGTGAAAAAGCAGCAAACGGTGTGTCTATCGGTACAGCGTCTAGGCTTGTATGCGTGACTAATGTAAACAATCGGCCATTATCACCGTCTTTTCTGATAAAACATTGCCGTCACTGTTTGTATAGCATTTCACCGATTTTAATTTTGTGACCTCTCCATCAGGCCTAGGCCACTGCGAAAAAAAATTGAAGATGCGCCTCTTTTGAACGAATGTCGTTCTAAACCATCTCAAACATAAGCTCTTAGGTGAAAATGACACACTGAATCGGAAAATTGCACCTGTGACCCCTCTGTCTGCCGCTGAGGTCATCTCAGGTCATGAAGGTTACCAGCAGTTTTTTACTGTATTTTTTTTATAGAGACGTGCTAGAGCAGTGAAAACACGTCAGATGTGTTCAATTCGACGATACCGGTCGACTGATATACAACATGACCTTTTCCGATCAGGTCATGACCTTGACCTGAGGTTAAATTTTCAAAACGGCCTTTCAAGGTCAATAAATTGTGCATTCCTTTTAAATTTTTGCCCTCTAGAGGCTAAACCGTTGACCTGAGGGCGAATCTGAGTACGTGCCGGCGAAAGAGCGTTGAAAGAGCTATCGAATGCGCTTTTCCGCGGCGCTGTAGCTCTATTGGTTCCCGAGTAAGCCGTCGGGTGTTTTGAAGGTTGTTGAAAAAGACAAAGTTTGACCTCTGAGGACTTGACCTTTGACCTGACCTTAAAAATGACTGAAGTATTTCCGCCATTATTTTTTACGCTCTTTCGATTGCCGCTCATCGCTTGTCGCTACGTCGCCCAGGAGCCGAGTTAGACAGGGGCGTGAAAACGCCCCCTCCCCCCCCCCCCCCAGCACGACACGGAAAACTCAGTTCATCAGCACGGAGCGAGTAAGAAAAACCCGTTCTAAGCGAAAACGTCGATTTTTACAGTTTTTGCCCTCCGGAAGCTACACCGTTTTAGATCAAATCTGAGAACACTACTCAGAAGGAACTATCGAATGTGCTTTTCCACAGCGCTATAGCTCTACACATTCGTTCCCGAGTTATGCGTCGATTTGTCGAAAATTGTCGAGAGGTAATTTTGACCTTTGATGACTACTGGTGACCTGACCTTTAACTTTGCCTAAAAGTTGAAGTACTTTCTACTTTCCTCATTACTTTTGACCGCGCTTTCAAACGCCGTCTGCCGCGTGTCTCAACGTGGCCCGCGGGTCCGGGAGCGGAGGTAGAGGGGGTGGGGTGCGAAAACACCCTCTTCCCTAGCAGGCCACAGAAAATTCAGACCACCAGCACGGCGCGGGTTAAAGTTGACTGCCATATTGCAGCCGATGCGTTTCCTTTACGAGTAGCTTTACAAAGTCACTTTTGATTATTGACGCTCAGTTGGCATCAATAATGCAATCAATCACACATTTGTGTGATTTCAACTGTGCGTTGAGCCAAATGTTACGCCATCCCGAAGAAAGAAAAATAAGAGGAAGCTTAGCTTTTTACATGTAGTTAGACAATGCTTAGGGCCTTACCTTAGCCCACGATTCGGCGACTGATTTTTGGTTCGCGAGGATAAATATTAAAATAAAGGGCTACAGAGTGAGAAGAAAACATGGGACGTTACCATTTCGCTTTGCGCACCAACTTACTCACGATGCGATTCAACACACAAAAGATATGCCTGATAAGGTAGATAAGGTAAATAGGGAGGGTAGAAAATTACCTTTCCTAGTCAGAAAACGACCTTGACCTACTAGCAAATTTTTTAGTTTACCTGTCAATGTCAGATTTATAGTTCACTCAACGGGCCTCAACAAATGAATGACGATACTGGTAAAATCGATGTCCTTCCGAATTTGTGCAGCAAGTCTTAATTCCACCAAAAAACGTCTACACATACAGATTTTCGTCTCCGGAAGCCGAGCCGTCGACCTTAGGTCAGATGAAGAAACATGAGTGAAAGATCTTGAAACATTACTGGAATTAGTCACTTCGCGTCATTTGACTGCACACTGTTATACCTAACCTCTGATTACCTCTTGTGACCTGAGCATTGAATTTACCTAAAGGACAGAAGTAACTCTTTTCGGACACCGTTGAATCAACGGTAGTAGTAGAAGTAGTAATCAACAGTAGTAGTAATCAGCGGTAGTAGTAATCAACAGTAGCGGCGGAACACCTTCAATTAAGGGGGGCACTGCCGACTTTTGGTCCCATTCTTTCCATGCAACGCCCATAGGGCTAATGTTAAAATGCCAAAATCAAAGCCAAGGCGGGCACGGTGCCCCGGTGCCCTCCCCGTTCCGCCGCCTATGCCGTTGATCACGAAAAATACGGTGATCCGAGCGTAATATATCGACGCGGAGAAGTGTATAAAAATGACCGTTCTAGAGCGCGCATTTATCTTGTCATCTGAACTGATCTGAGCGTAGTAGGTACTGTGCGTGATCGCACCCTTCCTTGCTTGCAACTGGCAACTGCAAGACGTGGTCATAGACGCTGTTAGCGACATCTGTACAAGCCGACCGTTCGCGTAGATGGCGCACTAGGATTGCTTGCCTCTACGGCCGTGCCACCCTGAACTGTAGCGCTGTTGGCGTGCTGAGGCAGATTGCCTCTTCGTTATGCTCGGTGAAGCCAAGCTGAACTTATGATGGGCTGGAATAGCGTTCAGTCGTCAGACAAACTTAGAATGACAGAAATTTTGTCGCTGTCTGAAGATGAATCGTATCTAAATAACTCACTCAAAACGCACATCGTGATTCTCCATATGACCGTCTTAATTTACAGGTCGGTCGTCACATACCTGATGATTGAATGTGGTTTGCGAGAAGCAGAAAACTGAACGACTTGATAACATAAACACACGATGTGTGACGAAGCAACAGGTATTGTGATCAGTTAAGCGGTATATCTTTATCAGACTGTTAAGAAAAAAAACTTGAGATGTGGCTCCTTCGCTTGCGAATCCATTACTCACACAGTACACATAGGGGAGAGTGGAAAAAGATGCCCAGGGGTTTGCTTGGGGTTTGCAATGTCATTCGAAAATGACAATCGGAAAGCAAAAACTTGGAGTTTCAACGGAACCCGACATCATTTTTCTCCACAAAATAACACACTTTTGTGCTTGAAATACGATAACTTTTTTGCTATTAATAATTTTCCTGAAGAAGTGCAAGGGGGCATCTTACCCCAGAGGGTAGAAAAGACGCCCCCTGCGGTTGGGTAAGATGCCCCTCCGCACTATAAGTGACTAAAATGGGCACGTGAATTGCCTGAACGAATCAGTTACATTCGAGTCTGCGGTAGGCAATTAAACGCCATCATAAGGGCAAAAAAAAAAGTCGTCGCAAGGGGCTTCAGAGTTCATCGGGGGGGGGGGGGGGGGCATCATAGTCCAGCGTGGCCAAACAAGCCTCCGTGGTGACGTTCGGAGACAGTTGTGGGCCCTTATAGGTCTTCATGAGACTTGAAGGCTCTCAAGACCATCGTGGGCTGGGGATCTCACATGCCAGCGCGGCCCGTGGGGCCAGCGCGGGATCTCGCAAAGAGTGTCGTGAGGGGCCTCGGAGCCAATAATGGGGCCCACAGAGGCCGTCGTGAGGGCTCTCAGAGTCAGATAGGCGCCCAAAAAGTAGGCATATGGGCCAAGAGACCGACATGGCGAGCACCTGACCGTATTGGACTCTCAATAGTCCCAAATCGACTTTTGTCTTTCTTCACAAGTATGTATGTACTAAATGATTCGACGAGTTCCTTGAAGGGCAGCCCACGGATTAAGGGGGGCGTCTTTCCCTATCAGGTCAGGGGGCATCTTTAGGCACCGAATTAACATTCAATCAGTACATTTTGTTAGCACTAAAACTACACCCTGAAACAAACTAGTTGAGGCAAAGTACACGCATATAGGTAAATGTTTCACGACAATAGCAAGGGACTATTTTTTTACAATTTCTTTGATATTCACAATGTTTTCACACTAAAATATTTTTTTTTGAAAGCAGCACATATAAAACAACCATGCACCAGCCCACCGTTGCCCAACTGAGCTTGGCAAATTTTTGTGTAGTATACAAGGAAGGTTTCCGCTTTACGCTAAGAACATTAATTTTCAGGTTTGATTTTTTGTTTTGCCTGGTTTTGCCGGTAGAGGGGGTTGGGCGTCTTTCCCACCCTGGGCATCTTACCCCACTCTCCCCTACATGATGTATGTGCATCTGCTCACTCACTCACATACATCCATCGAATATGAAAACAGAAGATATAATAAGGGAATAGGAGGTATAAGGACAAACTAAACCTAACTGTTTTACGCATCGGTTTACTTCCTAAATAAAGTTACTTATTTACTTAGAGCAAAAGCCACAACCTGTTAACAAAACGACGTTTGAAGTTCGCCGCACATAAGATGCATCCTCGCTAAAAAAAAAATTCGAAATCTCATCGAAGTTATAAAGTTCCCGACATGATATCACCCATTTCCATCGCAACGTCTCACGCTTCTCCTTAAAGTCACTGTCAGTCACCGCCGCTGGCTTTTGAATGCGCTGTGTCCTAGCGACTGGCACATGGCAACGGAAGCAACAAAGCACCTGTTGGCGCGGGTGTCAGTCGGCCAATCTGCAGACGCTGCGCCATCGTGGTACGGACAGCGGTTACAGGAGGATCTGGTTCCCTCAGCCGCCGCACCATGTCCCTGCTGTCGGCGTCTCTGCTCCTGCTGTTACT